CTCCAGAGCAGGGCCGCCAGATCTAGGGCCCATGGGCCACACAGGATCCCTCTGACATGTCAGAACCGGCACGGCGCCGGCAGACAGGGCGAAGGACTCTTCCAAACGTGACCTAAGCAGGAGCACTGCAGTTGCAGAGAGCCTAGGACAGCTCGGAGAGGGGTACACAACCTGCAGTGGGCCTGGGCCCTTGGGCTCAGGAACGGGCGAGTCTCCCTGTCAGGAGAGGGGCACCAGCCTTTGCCAACAGCCCAGGGGTCCAGAAGGAGCCAGGCTGGCACCGGGCATCAGCCAGGCTAGTGCCTGTGCATCCAGCCCTCTCCTGGGGGATGCGGGTGGTAGGGTAACCAGATGTGCCGATTTTATAGGGACAGTCCCGATATTTGGGGCTTTTTCTCATACAGGTGCCAATTACCCCCCCACCCCATCCCGATTTTTCACACTTGCTGTCTGGTCACCCTAGGGGGTGGGGAAGGATAGGAAGGAGCTCTGTCCCCCCCAGCAGGGAGTCCCATGGCCCCAGGTGCTGTGTGTGGGCCAGGCAGGGGCTCTGTACCGTCCAGCAGAGCAGCCCTAAGGGCTCCTGGTCCCGTCCCACTGGGGCTGGGAACTGAGCCAAGCTGGTTACAGCTCTCGGGCTCCTCCCAACGCCACCCCCGCATATCCCAGGCAGCGTCTGACTCACCTCCATCTGACACAGCCAGGCCCTGCAAAGACAGGAGGAGGAGAGGTCAGCCAGGATCCCAGGCCCCGCACCCTGCAGCTATGGGGAGCAGGGAGGCCAGCCCAGGCAGCCCCTTGGGCGAGGGATGAGTCAGCCAAGCAGAGTACAAGGGACACCGGCTGCCAGGTGTCTCCCCGCCAGGGTGCTTGGTCTGTGCAGGAGCCATTCAGCGCTCGCATGGGACCGGGCTCCTGCAGGGCTGGGGCGTGAGTCAGCTGGCAGCTGGGCACTCTCTGGCCTGCCCTCCTCCCTCAGCTCAGCTCAGCGATTGAGAAAGGGCTGATGCTATCAGCTGTGACAATGCCGCTGCCTGGGGAGAAGTGTAGCAGCCCCAGGGCACAGGAAGGGGAGGGAGGGCAGGAAAAGGGAGAGGAAGCCACAGCCTCCAGCACACCAACAACTGCAGCCCATTTCCCAGCTCTGGGGCTGGGGGAGACCACAGACCCCTTAGTGTGGGTGTTTCTGTGGGGCAGCACCCAGCCACCGAGCTAGGCAGACCCCCCGCCAAAGAGCTCCCAGCTGGGGCTCATGGCACAGAGCAGGGGGCGTGCAGTGCGCTCTCTCCTGGCTAATGTCTGGGGATGCTGCCCCCAGCAGGCCAGGCCCAGGCCCAGTCCTGCCAGCCCACGGGCATCCCTGGGCTCCCAGCTCTGGGGAAACGGCTGCCAGTCAACCCGCCTAAGCAGGGCTCACGTCCCAGCAGCGACAGAGAACTGCTCCCCTCCTGGGTGCTGAGGAACAGGGACACCACCCAGCTCTGCCATCGCCCGCCTGCTACCCCCGCCCCGGGCTCCCCACCCAGCACTGCCACTGACTGCCTGCCTGCTACCCCCGCCCCGGGCTCCCCACCCA